CTCTAGCTGCCAGGTGTAGGGAGGGACTAGCATGTAGAATGCTGCACTTGGCTTGGAACAGCAGCAGCAGCAAATAGGTTTCCTCTTCCTGCACCTGCTTCCTGCCATCCTCCACCATGACCCCTGCTGCCTGGGAGCAGATGCTGGAAGAAGGAACCCACCCCTCACTGCTGCCACTCTTCCCAGTTGATATAGGTGCAGAGGGATCCCCAGAGCCACTCTTTGCTGCTCTAGATACAGGCTGTAGGGAGCAACTTTGCAAAGAGCCAGGCTTAGCTGGGCTTCCTGGGGAACAGTGACAATGGCACTCCTTCCAGCACCTCCTCCCCAGCAGGCAGGTGGGAAGCAGGCACTGCAGGGAGAAACCTGTATGCCTTCCAAGCTGGAATGGAACAGAAGTAGGACAGGAACAGCTCTGGGGCTCCCACAAGGCCCAAGTCAGCTGGGGACAGCAGTAGCAGGGGTGGGTGAGTCCTAAGGTGACCATACATCCCAGATTGGCTGAGGCATCCCAGGGATTTCACAGGACATCCTGGCACCCCAGCTGGTTGGTGTAAATTGAAGCTAAAGTCCCGGCTTTGGCTGCTGCAGTCAGAGGCAGAGGGTGCTACTGTCAACAGTGCCCAGGCTGGTTTCTGCTAAGCAGTGGCTGGAGGAGGGGTAGCAGTCTGGGCTGGGCACTGCTCCTCCTGCCTGCAGGGGGACAGGGGGAATCAGCTGGGGCAGGGTGGGCTAGGGGAGGGGGCCAGGGCCAGGCAGTGTGTGGCAGACCCAGGAGTCTGACAGCAGTGGTGGGAAAGGATTGCTCCCAGCTGGGTCCAGCCTATGCACACAGGGGATGGAGCCCAGTGGCAGGCCTTGGTGCTGTCCCACACCCCAACCTTTCCATCACCAATCCTTCTGTGAAATATTAAACATCTTAACAAGAACAAAGCATAATTCAACATCCTGCTTGCCATCAGACTTCTCTGAGGTAAATAGACTGCTCCAACTTTTATCCAAACTAAAATGAACTTTTCTGGCCAGGAAAATTTACACCGTCCTCCAGCTTTCCTTTAAAATATGAATTTTCATTTCTGCCTGGGAGAAATTTTATAATCTTTGCATTCTCCTATGCCTGAAGAAGGGCGTGTATGCCCAAAAGCCTGCAAATAAAGAAAAATTTTGTTTGCAACTGTCTAGTTGGTCTAATAAAGTATATTGCCTCTACCACAATGACTGCTTGTACTTTTAGACCAACATGGCTAAAACCTTTATCCCTTTTCTCCTTTGTAACACACTGAAGGTTACTGTAGGGCACAGTTGCCCAACTGCTTAGTGGCTGGGGGCTACTCCACAGGGGTTACACCTGCAGGGGCCACATTCTGTGAGGGCCATGCCCCCATACATCCCCAACTGCCAGCCCCCCTATACTGTAGGAGCATGGACCTTAACCCCCCACACTGTACCATGCAGACTCCTCTGCTGTACTGCATTGCAGGCTGCCTCCCACACCGTGGACTGTGCTGAGCTGTGACATCTTGCTCTGCCCCACCTGCAGGCGGAGGGAGGCAGTGAAACCCAGAGAATGGAGGGGGAACCAGGTTACCCCCAGCTGCAGTAGCATCTGGAGCAATGAAGGGAGCAGTGGCAAGGGGGAATCAAGGGGCCACAGATTAACAGGCCTCAGGTTGCCAGTTGCACAGCCTTGCTGTAGGGTGAAAAGAGCAACAACTTGGCTAAATGAGAATAGGATTGGTTCTTCTTTTCCCTCTGTGTGTCCAGGACACATGGGCCAGGTACAGAAGTTACACTTATTGCACAGTAGGTATGCAGAAAGCATCTACAACCGTAACCAAACAGATGGTCAGCACACATAGAGTACTGTAAAAATGATGGATCCTACTTCAAGATAACCCTGGATGGATGTGGTATCAGACTTCAAGGCTATAGGTTAGAGCACCATAATGAACACCTGTACCACATCCCATTGACACTTACAGTAGGTCACAGTCTGCCAACATCATGTGGAGCATTGTGGCACCCTACTCACCCCACCTCATAGGGCAGCGATCTAACCTAGTCCAGAGCTCATCTCCTCTGTCAGAGCACCAGGCTGGCTGTGCCCCCAGGCTGTCACTGACAAAGCCTCTGTCCCCAGGCCTGCCCATGTGCTCCCTCTGGGTAGCAGACATCCATCCACACAAAGAAAACTGCTGATTGCTGAATTTCTCTTATTGCATATTGTCATAGATGCAGGTGAGCAAGTGCTGAATGTGAGTCTGCTGTTGTTTTGCTTCTGCTCACAATTAAACTGTCTTAGAAACTGATTCATCTGCACTGATTTCTGGCAATGGGCAAGTTCCCTAATGAAAGTAAAAATGTACTTGAAGATGCCCAAAATTTACATGAGCACATCTATGCATGCTATTATGCAGCACTGCTTTTTGACTTGTCTGGAAAACTGAAAGCACATGTAAAATGTAGATTGTGAGAAGCACTTACACTGACTGCTCAATACAGGATGCAGGAACAGAAACCCATGAGTCCAGCTCACAGATGCATAGTGTCAGAAAACTTGGCAATGGCCCATAAAGAAGCAGAGAGTATTTCTCTGTTTTCATGTCTTAAAACCAATTTCTAATAATCCTGGTCACTCAAATAATGGCTTGGAACCATGTAAACTTGATAGAAAGCTGATTCAGACAGCCTGTTACAGAGGTTGAGGTATCCTGCTGGGAATCCCACAGATATATACGTAGGGCAGTTAGCTTTTTTTGTAAAGATCCCATATTGTTTGTTTTATTAATTACTGTTGTTTAGCTGTTGCTTTTCCTGGCTATATGATTAGCAACATAAAATGGTCTTGATAGCCTTAATGTAATGTTCACTTCCTAGAATTACCTGCCAATAAAAAAAAAAAAACAACCTTCTGGGGCACAGCATATTTGATGTTCCCCTTAGGAAAAACCTCAAATTTTTCAATGGGAGGAAAGGAAACACTTTTCCTGCTTTCCCAATCTGCTACCTGCAAAAGAAGCAGTGATTTTATTTTCGCTCCTGAACCCAATAGATTCCCTAAAATCTGTACCAACTAAAATAGTTGGAAAAATTCTTCTTTGCAAGCTTCCAGGTACAAACAACCTTCGTACCTATACCCAAAAGCTTGCAAAGAATTTTTCCAACTATTTTAATTGCTTTAATAAATTATATTGAATTTTTCCAAAGAACTTTGTCTGCCTATGTCTTTAGATCAACCTGGCTACAACCTATACCCCTAAAATCTGTACAGAATTTTGGAAGCTACCAGACAAACAGGGTCACTCTTTTGAAGCCCTAGTGAGTAAAGGCAATCAGATCACCCATTTGCTGGCTCATACCCCAGAAAGGATGACTTAGGATCACCAGGTATTGTGGTACTGTGTCAGTATTCCATCACTTCTTTTTTAATTGCCTAATTAGCTGGCACCCTGATATTGCCAGCCAATCAGAGGCATTGTGTGTTCTCAGGACAGGCAGTGGAGCCATGACCTGAAGTGCCAGGACAATACACTGTTTACCAAGAAACTACTCAAAGGTTTTAAAAAGCATTTAATGTTTGCACTCAGGGCAATTACGCTTCTAAGTGTGTATTTTCTGAAGTGAACTTTGGGCAGAGTTTTGTTTAGTTGGGGTTTTTTTGCTTTTTTTAATCACACAGTCCTTCAGTCAAATGGAAGTTGTTGAAATTAGTAACACTAAAATCTGAATTTGGGATAATTTTCTCTTGATTGTAAGTGGAGCAGGATTGAGTCTTTGTACAATACTGTTTATAATATACATCTCTAACCTGCCCTTGTTTTGTCTTCTTGCAGTGCACTAAAGAAATTGCCTACAGTGGGTAATCATTAAGAATAGTTACAAGTATGCAAAAATTCTACAGTTTGGGGGAAGTGGAAAAGAGAAGACAGCACATTCAGGGGTGAATGAAGCCAACTAAGGCTTATCAGGTGCAATTGCTGAGCTCTTTATACCTGTAAAGAAAATAAGAAAAGAGCCAGTTATGCATGTGTGTGTAAATTAAGAAACAACATCTTGCCTGAAATATTTTAACAGCACTCCATCTGAAAACTTTTGTGGGGAAGACTATAACGAATAAGTAAACTGTATTTCTTGTTTTTGGTACCTCTTGCACTTAGAAATTGAATTTCTAACCTAGTACTTTATGAATTGACACAACACTTGGTTGATGAATAGCAGAAATGCTTTTCTTAATAACTACTAACAAGTTACAACACTAAATAACAGAAAAAGACTCTTTCCCAATATAAATCAAGCTATCAGTCCTTAGTATTATCTTAGCTGCATAGAGATCTTTACCCAGCGCAGGCAGGAAGCAGTTCTTGCACAGCCTTAAAGCATGGATCCTTCACTTGTCACCTGAGTGGCAGGATGACTTGGTCTGAACTGCACACATCTTGCTGGCAGTTCTGTCTAATTCTTATACTGTTTAATTGTATAGTTTCAAAGCATTCTTCCTTGATGGTTGGCCAATTAGAATCCAAACAAACAGGGAGGGAAAGGTTGATCATAGCACAACTGTTAATTGCCTGGCTCCTGTTCTTGATTTGTCTAGGTGTGTAGACAGGGTTTTTCTGCATCTCCTGCAATTAAAGGTCAATTTACAGGTGATGGGTCTGAGTGGTTCAACAGGGTCTTTAGAAGTGTCACCAAACCTGTTTTGGGGTATTTGTATATCAATGGGACAAATTTGCAGTAGCTTATATTGGTGATGGTCTATTTACAGAACTCCAGACATACAGTAGATGATTGAGACATTGCAACACCTTAGAGCAGGAGTGGGCAATTATTTTGGGTGGAGGGCCGCTTACTGAGTTTTGGCAAGCCATCAAGGGCAGTATGACAGGCAGCCAGGGGCAGATAAATATTAATTTTCTACATTTTTTAGGGGCCCCGTGGGTGGGATAGAATGGCCTGGCAGGCCACATCTGGCCCGTGGGCCGCATTTTGCCCACCCCTGCCTTAGAGTGACATTGGATGCCTGTTTTGAGAAATGTGAGGATGTATGTACAGAAAATCTTCCCTATATTCAATGCACGTTTTACAGGTTTCTTTTGAGATGCATATTTAGCCTTTTGTTTTCTTTAGCTGCTAGGTCAATTGAAATAGTTTTCTTGCCTTCACTGGCACACTGGTCCAGCTTTTTCTTTCAGCTCTTAGCTTGGAAATACAAATGTGATGAGTGTGTCAGGACTCCGTCAATAATTTTAACTACTTTTATTATTTTATAGCATGGGTCTGGTATTGGGTACCGCAAACTCTACTTTCTTGACGCCTAATGGGTTGCAAGCCATTAGTGGAGTTTGATTTTCTTGTGGCTGTCTTGTTACCACAATCCAGTCTAGCCTCAGCCATTGTCTTGCATTTTTGTGCAAGAGACACTGTCCAAGCTTTCACAGTTTTCATATGCAGCAATGCCTGCAATCCATAATATCTGCTCTCATCATCTTGCATTCTCCAAAGTGATTACAGATGCATCTGATGCAGTAAGAAATTGCTTATACTAAGAAGTAGTTTGTAATGTCCTGATGAAAACAGTGTCTTGTTCAAATCAAGTTTCTGTTTTTAATGAGGCTTAGGTTAGTTCTCAGCTCTAAATCAAAAACACTCTAGACTTACCTACTTCATTCAAAAATCACTTGCATATACAGAAGGTATAAACTTTAAATATGAAATTTCAATTTAGGGGCATAAGGGAATGTTTACATTACAGCGTTTGCATTAGAGTCTAGGATCTGAACCTGGCATATGGGTTTGGTCCAAGCATTAGAATAGTTCTGCTTATGTCTCTTCTTGAAGGGCTACACCTCTGGATGATAGAAAGTAATCAGAGAAGATAATTTCTCCTTATCTTTGTCTCAGATCTCCTCCATAATCTTTCCCCCTTGATAATTGCATACGTTTTGATACCACATCTGCCACCACAAGCCATCCCAACTTTCTACCTTGCTCAGGTTTATAAACTACATTTCTAGATATATTTATTTCTTTGCAAAAAAATCAAAACAAATTTATAATTATGCAAAACAACCACTTGACAGTGTGGTGCCTTGTGCCTCCTCATTTGTGACGTCTGTATTTATATTGAAATCTCCTCAAAACAGGAACTTTATATAGTACCAATTATGGGAGGGGGAAAGAAAAAGTGAAAGTGAAAAAAGGAAATCTAATAAATTTGGCAAGTACTATTTGGGCTTGAAACTCATAACATGCCAGTAATAGCATCCACTACATTAAAGTCCTCCATCTTATAAGGGTGTAAAGTAAGGGTGGCTGAGTTGGGGTCTAAATATTGTAGCAAGAAACCTTTTTGCCTGCTCACCCCCTCAAATGTGAAGCTCCTTCATATGGCAAAAGCCCCTTTTGCAGTATTTGTCCCCCTTTGGGGATGTTTTCTCTTTTCTACCTTTTCTTCCTTCTTCTCTCTTTTTCTTTTATTATATTATTATTATTTTTACATAAGGTGTACTTGTAGTGAAAAAAGAGCTTATAGATGCTTTTAAAATGTACTTTAAGTTTAAAAGTAAGTTGTACCATGTAACAATGTTACCAAGGATGGGAATCTCTGTATGGAGCGGGCCACTGAATGAATCATGGCTGATTGTGTAACACAGTAGCTAGTCTGGATAAACAAGTTAATGAGCGGCAATTAGCACCTACAAAACTACAGCCCAAGAAGAGGAAAGAATCAATACAGAGCCAGGAACTCCCTGAAACTTTACTGTTCAAGGTGCGGAAGCCCTGGTTTGAACTAATCAATGCTGGAAACAGACCCCTGGGGCTGAAATACCCCCTGATCAACCATTTCTTGAGCGTTATTCATCATGGTAGTTAATCAATCAAAATTTAGCAATGGACTCCTGAGACTGCATGTACCTGCGGACGTGACCCCTGGGGCTGACAGCTGCCATCCAGCAGCTACCAAGAGGGACATCTCTAGAGGTCAATGACCCCTGGATTGGGTAAGCCCGAGAATTGGGGAGTCACCAAAGTCTGCCAGAGAGGGATAAAAGGCAGCAAAGAATGACCCCCAATGATGCCCTCTTTGACTTGACCAGCACCTTGCTTGTCCAGCCAGAAGGACAAACCAGAGACCCCCTTCTGAAGCACCATCGTACCGAAAGAAGCCTCGACTGGCCATCGACAGTGGACTCCAGTGCTTGGGGATAGGTATATCGTGACACTGGTGCTTAGTGTTCATAGCTAGCTACTGTGTGTGTGTGTGTGTGTGTGTGTGTGTGTGTGTGTGTGTGTGTGTGTGTGTGTGTGTGTGTGTGTGTGTGTGTGTGTGTGTGTGTGTGTGTGTGTGTGTGTGTGTGTGTGTGTGTGTGTGTGTGTGTGTGTGTGTGTGTGTGTGTGTGTGTGTGTGTGTGTGTGTGTGTGTGTGTGTGTGTGTGTGTGTGTGTGTGTGTGTGTGTGTGTGTGTGTGTTTGAGGTGATCAGCACCAAGGTTTATGATCTGACTTTTGCATCCGTCCAATAAACTAAAATTTTATGATGATCCTGTGAGTTGATCCTTTGTAGCCAACAATATTTGCCACCCCTTTTTTAAAGTTTTTTTTCAGAGGGAAGGATCCTGTCATGTACTTCATTCTCATTCATTGCAGCTTAACTTTCCCTCTTCTTCGTCACTGAACAAATAGCTAGGAGATGATCAACTAGCCAGTAAGTGTGTGAGGAGATGTGGTTGGGAGGGTACTAAACCTCCAAGCCAGGTCAAACAGATACACACTCATGGAACCTAAGGGACCATGTGAGCCATGGACTCTTGAATTTTACAGCTTAGGCAGGGTGTGTGGCATTGCCAGAATCAGGGAGTATCTGCTGAGAGCCCCTGGACATTTTGAGATTGCGGAGGTGGCCTGAGCAGCTGAGACCAGGTGAAGCAGGATCAGTGTTTCCAAGCCTCTGAAGTGCAAGTGAGGGCCACACACCCCAAACCACATCTCCATGCATCCACCCTTGCTTCCATCCATCTATCCACCCTTCCACCCACCCAGGGAAGAACAGGGTAGATGCCATGTCCACAGAACCAGGGGTATTCTGGAGGAGTCACCCACAGGGACCCCACCAGAGGAGGAGGATGTGTAGAGTGGCCTTGTAACACTATTTCCCAAGCAGGGGCTGTGGCTGTTTTGAACCAAGTCTTGTCATATGACTATGCACCCCTCCCAGAAGCAGGGAGTGCATACCAGCCCCCCACCCCCCCCAGTACCAGTGCAGCAGCCACTGTGCTAGCCCAATCTATAGGACCTATGACCATTCTTTCTGACACTTCTCCTGATGAGTCAGGCCACACACATGGACACCACACAACCCATGACGGTAAGATTCACCCCAGCTCCATGTGACCATGATAAGGAGCCAGGTGCTGGAGGAAAGACAGAGCCCTTGGGGGCAGAGAGGGGGAAGGAAGAGGCAGCAGGAGGGGCCAAGGCCACCACAATCCACCCCCTGTGGTCATAGCTCTTTCTCAGGCCATTATGACTGAGAAAACCACCAAGGGGTTGGAGCTGGAGGCAGGGGTTGGGGGAAGGAATGCTGGGTGTAGCTGGGCACTGTTTGTGCTTGCCACTTTTAGGGCCTGGAGCTGGCAGCTGCCAGGTGCCTGATGAGGGCAGCCATTTTGAATCTGGGGCTGCCCATATAAACAGGGCAGTTTTGCTGCTGGAGGCCAAGCAACAACATTGCCTGGCCGGAAGGCTGCTGGTGTCATCTGGAGGTAAGGGAGGAGGTGCAGAGGATGGTCAGGAGGCTCCTGGTCCTAGGCATGACCTTAAACTGCACCCTGCCAGGAGTGGGTGGCCTGGTGGGGCTCCCAGTGGTGTAGGAGCCCCCAGGAAATGCCAGGCCAGTTACCACCCTGGTGAAAAGCGGGTTGGGGCACCTTAAACCCTAGCCCCCACAACTGGGTGGGTTGCCCCCTTTAGTAGGGTCTGGAGGGTGGACCCCAGAGGAAGAGTGTGGGGCCATAGACTCACACCTGCCTGGGCATCCCCTGACTGGTCAATGCTGGGGCCAGGACCGGAAGGGTCAAAGGGTCAAAGGGCCAGGGGCCACTGTGAGGAATGCCCAAGAGCTGAGGGTCTGGGGTTCTGACTGGCCTGGAGGTGGGCCAGGGCTAGTGAACCAAAGGTCCCAGGGGGGAACCACACCTGGAAGGGGAAGCAGTTCAAGGAGCTATGCTGCCCAGGATGAAGGCAAATGAGGCTATCGGAATGGAGGGATCATAAAGGGGTTCAACACTAGGATTATGGGGCCCAGCATGGGGCCGGTGACTGTTGAGAACATCTGGATGCCATCTGCGAGGCTTCGGCTGTGGTGTAGGGGAGGAACGGAGCTGCAGATAGCACACCCTGGCTTTGTGGCAGGAAATGGGCAGCCTCCTGCTTAATTACATCATTAAATAATTACCAACAAGGTGAGGCAGATGAGAAGGTGGGCGGTTAGCCCAGAAACAGGTGGGCGGGCCACAGGGAAGTCGGCCCTGAGAAGGCCCCCTGTTACACTGGGATATAGGGCTAGGGTGAATTACCCACTCTTCCCTCACCTGCACCCTTCCCTGCTGAAGCCTGGAGCCCAGCCATGGTGCTAGTTCCCCCTCTCTTCCCCCCTCTGCTCTTGGATGCTTAAGAGAGCATGTCCTATTCAATGGGATCAGAAATCAGAAAGAGGATGGAGCTAGACTGTTCTGAGTGGTGGCAAATGACAGAACAAGGAGCAATGGTCTCAAGTTGCAGCAAGGGAAGTCCAGGTTAGAGATTAGGAAGAATATTTTCACTAGGAGGGTAGTAAAACACTGGAACAGGTTACCTGGAGAGGTTGTGGACTTTCCATCCTTGGAGATTTTCAAGACCTGAGCAGACAATGCCTTGGCTGGGATGTTCTAGTTGGGAATGGTCCTGCATTGAGCAAGGGTTTGGTTTATGACCTCCTGAGGTCCCTTCCAACCCTAATTTTCTACGATTATATGATATGGTATTTACAATATTGTGTTGGGAAGTCAGAGAAATGCAGGTTCAAACTGCCTCTGGATGAGAAGGGTCCCAGAAGGTGGATGCCTAGCTTTCTACATGAGTGTTTTAACCATTCACCTATAAGGGCTAAAGTTATGGAAGGGCTCTCCTTTTCTGTCTAACACTTGCTAGTCATGGACCATGACTGCCTATATTTTCATGCCATAGGCACCAGTAGATGTTGTGGCAGAGCACTGGTTGTGCCTGCCACTTTAAGAGGCTTGAGCAGGCTGTGGAGCAGCTGGCAGGTGTGGTTAGGTCTAGTGAGGTGATCACATGACCACAAGAGGGCCCCTGGATTGGAGGAGGACTGGGAAGCCTCAGTATAAGCCCAGGTCCTAGGAGCTGAATTGGCAGTTACTGCAGGGAGCTGAAGGATCAACATTGCCCCACTGGAGATCTGCTTCTCCCAGAACATCCTGAAGGTTAAGGATAGGAACTATGGGATGGAACAGGTTTCTGGCCCTAGGGCAGGACCTGAAACTACACCCTGCAGGGGCTGCCTGTGGTGGGGCAGTCTCCAGGAAATGCCACACCTGTGCTTCTCCAGTGAAAGGTGAGGATGGGGCAGCATATAGTCTCAGCCCCATAACCTGGTGGGAACCCTGTAGAGGGGACAGGCTAGGGGTCCAGGCATGTCATCAAAGACCTGAGGCCAAAGGGGCATAAGGCCCAGGAGCCCTGGTGAGAGGGCAGAGTAGTGATCCAGTAAGGGGCAGAAAGCAAATGAGCCCAGTCAGGGTGGAACAATGGGCCCAGGAGGGGTCCAGAGTAACTATATAGTCTACAAGCCCACAGAGTGAGGACAGTGTTTGGAGGGCCCTGAGAAGGCAGACCTATATGGGAGAGAGGGCTAGCTGCTTAAGAACCTTCCCAGAGAACCTTGAATGGCCCATGCTGGAGCCAGGACCACGAGGGTCAAAGGACAAGAAAGCCCACCATGAGGAATTGCCAGAGCCAGTGGCCTGGAGTCCCGACTGGCCTAAAGGCAAGACCAGGGCCTGAGAAACCAAAGGTCCCGGAGGCAGCCACTGCTGAGAGGGAAAGGGGTCTAGGGGGTTTGCAGCCCAGGATGATGGCAGAAGTTAGGCCACCCGAGTAGGAGGTATCTAGCTTGGGGTCTGAACATCAGTGGGGAATATAGTGGGGCCCAGTGTGGGGCTGGAGCCATATAGTGATGCCATGTGCAAGGCATGGAACATGATGTAGGGTATGTCAGAGCTGTGTATGTCAGAGCTGCCTTGGCATTGGGATATTAAATGGGCAGCCTCCCACCTTGAAATAACTATTTAGTTCCAACAAAGGCATGGCAGGAGATTCAGGCAGGTGGACTGCCCTAGACAAGTGGGCACGCCAATGGCTGGACTGGCCTCAGGATGGCCCCCTGTCACAATGTCCACAACAGCTGCATGCACATGGCCAGGCATATGTCTAGCTAGTATATTGTCTGAACTATGCATGTTTAGTCTGTGCACATAGTATGTGAGCATAATTGTCCACCCTTCCAGGAAATAGAATATCTACCTGTACATAAGTGCTGAAAATGGCACATAGACAACTAAAGAGCCACTACTTGGAAAACTACAGAGAAATACATCATCACCCCAGTGGCCTGATAGTTATCAAAGAATTTTATTATTCAGGGTACCTAATCTGCAAGTATTTTGAGTATGTGGTCTGTATATGGCATTTTAATTATATTCTACCTATGGTTCTGGACAGTGATATTTATTGTATGTGGTTAGTATACACACACAGTATTTTATCACATATAACATGTACCCTTTTTCCTAAATTCAACTTCTGGAAATTGGGATATGCACTATATGCGCAGGAAATATGGCAATGGGGAAAGGAATGAAAGTAAATCTGCATAGGGGCAGTGCTCCAGGAGAAGCTTGTGTTGAGGAAATTGCTACTCAGTTACTTATGGCTACTTACCAGTATTTTCAAGGAAATCTTTTTTTTCTTAATTCTGCCTTTCAAAAAGAAGGTGCATATCTTATTCAGTGGCATGTCTGCAAAAAAAAATGGTGTTTGGAATGCCATTTTCAAAGCCACCTGTGACAGGGAGCCAGAATCCCCTGTCACTTTAAGTAGAGAGTGCTGCAGGCCAAACCTTCTGCATGGAGCTGCAGCAAAGGAGCACAGGCTTGCCATTAGGCAAAGGGAAAACCCCTGTGTGTGGCTGCAGAGCCACATAACCAAAAAGGGCTTGGAGGGATATAAGCCCAGGACCTGAGGTAAGGTAGGCAGGCTGCGAGGAGCAGAGCTCTGGGGAAGAGAGGGGCCTGACTGGCCAGGGAAGAAAGAATTCAGACTTCAGGGAAGCTGGGATCTGGAAGGAAGCCCCTGCACCACCAGACAGCAAGAGATGAGTTTTTTGGGTATGATGCCATGGTGTGGTGTTGACCCAGAGATAGGGAACCTTTTATTTGAGAGAAGATTGCTCATATCATTGTGTTTAAATACCAGACGACTGGACTGTAGCTGTAGGGGCTGTGAAGGGCACTGCAGGTCCTAGACTCTTCAAAGCAGGGAGCCTTGCTGTTAACAGAAGGACTATGGTGCCATACTGGGGGCTGATGGGTTTTGAGCCCCCAGTGGGTGAGACTGAGGGATGAGGGGCCTGGGAGCCTTTGGTCCTGAGACAGGGAACCTTGAGCGTAGGGGCGCAGCTGGAGTAAAATGGGCCAAGGCAAGGGGGCCTCAGCCCAGACAGGGGCCTAAGATCCAAAGAAAACCTTCCCTCTGCCCTCTAAGGAAAACTTCCCTGTCCAATCATAACAAGGCATGGAAGGTGAGACAAGTAGATGGGACTCTGACAGGGCAGAGGTGATGAGCAAGGCAGGACCCATGCGACCACTAGGGTGGGACACACACTTCCTCAGGCTCAGGGGAAAGATTTCTACACCTCCCTGCCTGTCTGCTGTCTGACACCACCAGGGAAGGAATCCTGCCTTATCTACACATCAAAGAGCAACTCACAAAGACACTCTCATGGACCCAGAGGAACAGACTTCCACCTTCAGCTTCCTCTGTACAAAAATAAAATTTATTTTCTATCTATGGGGACTTTTTACCATCTTTAATTTTCCCTGAGCCTGAGGAAGGGCGCATGTGCCTGAAAGCTTGCAGAAAAAGATAATTTTTTTGTGATTTCTTAGTTGATCTAATAAAAGGCATTATCTCTTAACCAAGAGGTCTAGAATTTTGCATTTCTTCATGACTGTAACAAAGCATTAACTAGCTTTGAAAGTGTGACGGGGGCCAACCTGGGGCTGTCTCAAACTCGGCCCACCCCCCTGTCTATGTAGGGCAGTCCACCCAGTCTCATTTGCCATGACTTGTTGTTCCATAAACTGGTGTAAAATGCAGAAGGCTGCTCATTGAAATACCCGTATGCCAGGGGGTGCTGTCCATTGCTCCATACCATCCCTACACTGTGTTCCATGCCTTGCAGATGGCATCTGGTTTATTACTACTCCTCTGGCTTAAGGCTGGGCCAAACTCAGTCCTATGTTGAGACTGTATCACTCTGCCCTTTACTCAGTTGCACACATACCCTCTCACTGGGGCCTCTTCCACTCCTCCCACTCTTACTGGGCCTCATGCATACTGCCTGCCACTCTCTACCCACCCTGCTCCCCTGACCAGCCCCTCTTGTGCCATCGGGTTTAACTACTCTCTCTCTGGCTGGATCCCACACAGCCCTTTGGGTCACATTCACCTGCTCATGGGATTTCACCTACACCTGTGCTCTGGTTTTCAGGCTGCCTCTACAACTATACTCAACACCCCCCTGGACAGCCCTTCAGATAGCCTCTGCAACTCTACCCTACACCTTGCTTATGCACAGCCCTAAGGTCACAACGGCACACCTGACTCTGTGCAGGCCCAACATACACTACTGCCCCCCTCTGGGGCCACTCTGCTGCCTTTTCTCTCAGGGCCATGCTGCTGCCCCCTCACTGAGGCCTCCAAGGTCTTACACTCCTGTGGGGCTCAGGTGTCTGCAGACATACCTGGCCCCTATACCTAGCCCTAAGCCTGGGTAACCCACCAGGATGTGGGAGTTGGGGTATTAAGGGGCCCCTCTCCTCCTTTTACTGGAGAGACAACTGGCCTGTCAATTCTGGGGAGCTCCCCCACCACAGGTAGTTCCACCAGGCCATCCTTCCCCAGGAGGGTTCAGTTTTCAGTCATGCCCAGGACCAGGAGCTTCCTACCATCCCCATAGCTCCTGCCCTTACCTCCAAGGTGTTCCTGAGCAGCTGCTCAGCTGGATGTTGTTCTGCTGGCTGCCAGCAGCAGACTGCTTCCTCAGCCCTGAGGGGCTGGATATAAAATGAAGGCCTCATCAGGGCTGGCCCATACCTGCTGGCTGCCTGCTCTCAGCCTTAAAGTGGCAGGCACCAAAAGTGTCCTGCCACAGAAGTATATCCATTTGTCCATTTGTTTGTACCTAAGCAATAAGTAAATGTAAAGAAAACTTTAAATGGAGATGTGATAATATTTGACCTAATGTAGTGAATCCTAGAAAACAAACAAACAAAACCCACAAAACAACAAAAAAGCCAATGGTCTGAATTAGAGGATGAAAAGACAGCTTAATTATCTTGCATTTCTTTTTGGCGAGTTTAACACAGTTGAAGAAAGACTTTTAATCTATAGTCTTGCCTTTTTAACAGAGTAGGTGGGGAATTCATAAAATGTATCCATATGTCCCATATTTGGTATCATGTCACTCTACAATAGGGATGAGTCGATATTGAAAATGAGCTTGTTTTCAATGTTTTTTCCTTGGCAAAATAAAAGTTAATTAGGTATGCATGTTATAAGGTGGATGGAAAATCAGGAAACAATTTTGACCGTCTGATGGGCTCCTCTGTTTGTTGACACTGGATTTTAGGAACCCAGCCCCTATACTTTTGTTCCAGTTGAGCACAACCCTCAGACCGACCACAGTACCCGCCAGTTGATAATAGGTGAATTTATTGATACAGAGTAAGAATAGAAAAGCAACAGTACAAACAATCAAGCAATTCTATATCTACCAATCCTAGGGCTGTCATCAGAGTCAAAGTACATCTGGTCAGGATGCAAGCTCCACTCTGAGGCTCTTTCTCTTAGGTGTCATCAGTCTGGAGGTGGGATGATAAGGCCCACTGCCCCCCTCCAGTGGAGTGCATGAAACAGGCTGTTGGTATGTCTTTGGTCCATGGTGGCCTCAGGGGCCCTTCCTGGGGGAATGGGGATGGGGACCCCTCTCAGGGAGTAAAACAGGGAGAGATAGGGAGGGACAGGACAAAGGGAGGGGCCTTTGTTGGTAATTCAGTTTACCAGGGAAACGTGTGGACAAGCTTCTTCATATTTAACCCTATTGTGCTGCGAGGGGGAAAAGAGAGACAAGGCTATGGTGAATCAACAGGGCTGCCTCAGAAAGCACAGCTCTGAGTTCATATGTGCACTGTGCTGCAGGCACCATCACACATGTTTTCTGATCAGAAGGGGAAGCCAAGGGGTGTCTGGATTAGCTGGACTCTTAACAAAGTAGTATATTGTCCTCTCAGAGCA